CTTTTTTGCTATCCACTTGTGATAGCAGTGAGAAACAAGATGTGTCCATGAAACACTGATGCCCCCATATAGCAACATAGCGAAAATGAAACTTTTCTTAAATAGAAATTCAATATATTGGTACCCAAAGTAGTGTCTTATCACTGTACAATTGTGAAATATGAAAGTCCTAGCATCACCTAATCAAAAGTTATGGCCTAGGATAATATTTTGAAAAGTTAAGGCTCTTGGCATCCAATTAAAGGTCTTGCCACATAGAATACATGTATATGAAGTATAAAAGTCCTGGTATTTGACGTTCAAAAGTTTTGGTCAAAGTAAACTTTAGAAATTTTAGTGTAAAAGTATCTCAAACTCCAAGGTCAAAAGTTCAAATTTGGTGGTATCCAAAGAAAGGCCTTGCCACAAGAAATACAAATAAGAAATATGAAAGTAATAGTACCACAAAATCATTAGTTATGGGAATGGTTAATTTTCTGCGGACAAACAACTAGACAGACAGCCAGACGGACGGACAAACACGACAAAAACTATTTACCCCCGAATCACATTTTTAAAAAGTAAGTAAAACTCCCAGGTCAAAGGGTCTAAGTCCTTGATATCAAATGAAAGGTCTTGTCACAAGGAAGGATATGGAGATTATGAACAGCATTTAATATCAAAGTCCATACTGAATCAATACAAAATAGGAGCAGAGAAAACAAGAACCTCCGAAACATCAGAGGTGGGATCAGGTGCCATGAAGGAGTGAGAATCCTCATGCTGATCGGTGACACTCACAGTGTGCTCCTTGTCATGATCGAAAAATAACGGAAAAATCCGTCGTCAATTCAGTGTATAAATAAAGGACTAACAATTAGTATGAAAAACGTCAGTCAGCATTTGTCTCGATGATAAATTGTATTTGCTAACAAGAGCATTGTATCGACCATAGAATTCACGAAATGATGACTTTAAACGACACTGTTGATATTCTTGTTTCATCAACTTGCTTGTCAATAATTTAACTCGTTTTAGAAATTGTTCTTGCGTATCGAATCAACTGAGATATATACACTCTGTATGCAGGTGATGAAGGTATATTGCTGCATATTAAGTAAGGGAAGTTGACGATAAAAAGTTTTCACCCTACCCCCAGTTAACATGATTTGTACAATTTAGAATCTACATCACCCTATAGGATGCTTCCATATAAGCTTTTCAGCTTTTCTGATTCTTGCGAAAAAAAAAATTTCATGTCAACACCCTTTTTCTCATTTTCTTGCTTTATTTCAACTTAGAATCCCTTCACACAGGGGTGTTTTGTATCAGATTTATTTGGTTAAAATTTGCCCAGGGGTTTTTGAGAAGAAGTTGAAAATGAAATGTGAAAAGTTTATATACAGCCGGACAGACAGACAGAGGCCGGACACCGGGTGATCAGAACATCTCACTTTAGTTTTTACCTCAGGAGAGTTAAAATGTAATGAATTGAAGTATTTTGCAAGAATTGTTAACACCATTTTTACAGCAATTTCTTATAAGAAGTGTGAATTCCAAAATCAATAGGCATTCTGTCTGGTTTTGATAGTACATAGTTACTCGGGGCAGTGCTACTCCAATACGTTAGAGAAATATACATTTAGATGTTATTGAATTTTGAAAAAGTTGGTCATTTTAAATTTTCTCATCTTCGCTAACCAAGGGTTTCGGATCCGAAATCTACTCTACAATGATAGGCTGGGCAATTGAATTTCCCGTTTGATAGAACTAAATCTGCCATGGTTACAGGATACAGCAAAGGTAGACTTCAGCTCAGAAACAGGCAGGGCTGCCCCCCACCTTTTTCCGCAACCTTACTTATAGTATAGGAAATGTTAATTCAAGTTGTCTAGTTACCCCCCCCCCCCACTATAAGTGATGTTCGAAAAATTTAGTATGAAAATTGATACTAAAACCAATTGACCTTGAGAAAAGTTGGCCTCCCCCCCCCCCCCCCCTAAAAAAAAAAAAAAAAAAGAATTGGATTTTACTTTGGGCAACTTTTCACTTTTTATTTTTTTTGCTTGTCAACTTTTTCTGGTAAGTAGAAAAATTTTTATTTCTCTGGCTGCCCCCCCCCCCCCCCCCTTTCAGAATCGAAGCTACGCGCCTGAAATATAATTGAAATTAATTACCACTTCCTGCAATTCTGGGGAGACAGACAGACAGGCAAGTTTTAAGATGGCTTCATATGATAGCTATAGTGCATATTAACTGATTATTCCAAATCAGGGTCCTTTTCAGGATATAGCATACATGATTATTAAATTTGTTGTACTTGAGGGGGATGTCCGACCACGTTTAGTGCAATAAGAACAAAATGTAAACATTTCTTTATATATGGCCAATTCTAAAATACATTATATTTTGATCATATTTCAAGTCCTTATGATAAAGATGCAATAAATATGCATAACTGAATGCATGTTTTGTATATATGATTTATATACTTTTGCAGAAAAATGCTTTTGATGTGCTCTTTAGAACTGCTACAGAATTCAGCCGAGTCTTGAAAAATCCAAAACAAATATGCAAAGTGTGCATTAATGTTCTCTCTACAACCATTTCTTGAAATTTTTTTCTAAATTTTGCACTTTCAAATGGATTTCACATTTTTTACTCCCTCTCACCCATTGATGATACCTGCCAAAACTTATTGAAACTGGTTGAGTGGATAAAAGCTGAAATTTTAATGTTTTTAAAACACTTGACAAACCATAACAGATAGCAATAGGCCACCTGAGTAAACTTGGGTGACCTAACAAAAATTGATAATTCTGACCTACTTCGTAAGGATTTCTGATTTCATTTTTCAAGAAACTCAACACAATAGCTTTTAATGCTCTTTATATATTTTATTGATATATATGTGATTTAATATTATATTGCATGACATGGTTGCATTTTATTTACATGTACAAAGATAATGCCCAAGATCTCTTCCCAATAGTCAGGAGTTGTCTACCCCTGGCCCACTGACTAGTCAGGAGTTGTCTGCCCCTGGCCATGTAAAGAGCTAGTCTACAATGTCTGTTTCTCTAAGTAATGATGAACCCACAACCAGAGAAGTGACAGTGGAATCCTGGAATTTCCACTTTGTCGTTTTTGACAAGACAAAGAACTGAAATATTGTTTTATCAGAGGTTGACAATATTTAAAATGAAATCATTTCCATTTTGGAGATCTTGTCAAAACCAACAATAAATAATCTATATACAATTCATGACTAGGGTCATTAAAATGCGGTAAAATGTTCATGACAAACAACGGATAAATAAAATTTACATCTCCAATCATTGAATGCACTTGGTCTGTCATTAACATAATCCATTTTACATTTACTGTAAAATATCTGAATAAAAACAAAAATACATATCATGCATTACATATAGATATATGTACCAGTTAGACTATGAGGTTAGTATTTTGATGCAGTAGATATGTTTGAATACAACGTTTTCCTAATACTCTTTAAGCTTACAAAAATATAGTAAGTGATCTCTGAAATTCCAAGCACAACAGATTGATTACACTCATGATTTCCTATTGACATATGGAACCAGAACTTAGTCTTCAAAACCAAATGTAAAGTACCTCAAATGACTAACATTAAAATCTGAACCAAAACAATTTTTACAATTCTCTCTCAAAGAACTACGAACGATAGTATTGTTCTCCCGCCTACCTCTAAGTCAATTCTTAAACGTTAACATATTCGAATGATTTTCAGAATGTTTATAGATATTTATATCAATTTTTATAAAACGTTACTTATTTGGGATACCAAAGAGAGATAACTCTATAATTTTGGTAAAACTTGTGTTTTTCTCTATAGAAATCAACGGAAAACGGAAAATGTTTTTAAAACATCTCCCCCCCCCCCCCGTGAAACAAAAAGTATTTTTTAGGTGATAACTGTCATTTTACAAATTTAAATGCTTTTTGTGTTTAAAGTTTATAGACAAAAAACGAAACAAATGCTGATTTTTCACCAATTTTAAAGGTATTTACAACTAAATAATTGTATTTTATTAATTTATATATGTTTTATTTATTTGCGTTAAACATAAGAAAAGATATGAGATACATTTTATCATATTTAAGACTATTTCAAAATATGGTGATTCTTGAAAAACAAGAAAAATCGTCTACCCCCTTTTTTCACAAGCTGGAATTAATGATAATTTAGTATTCTGGAATTAAAATAATTAATCAATTACCAAATTATTAAACAAAGATTTAATGGCCAAATTGCCAATAATATTGAATTTAATAGGTGCAAAATGTAGGCGGGAATCAAGAGTTAGAGTTCGTAGTTCTTTTCTTTCAGTGACACCTTGCCTCTTATCACAAAACCCTCCATGTATATAATGCAATAACTTAATGAGATTTAATAAAGCATATTTAACAATTAATATTTATCAATAAATACATAACAAATAACAAGCACCTTGTCGCATGTTCCCTGCAGTTCTTGAAGATAATTCAAAAAGCGATAAACATGCCCAAGAATAATAAAGCAGGATTTACCTCCCTTCTCATACACAGTCGCTCACACACATTGAGAAAAAATGTAATAAAATGTTATATTTACAGAACATGCATATCAAGATGTGTTTGTGAAACACTATGCACCCGGCGTCAATAAAGTTCGAAAAAGCTATTTTCAGTATATAAGTCACAGTCAAGGTCACAAGGTCATTGACCTTGGTTTTGTTTGAAAGAACATGCTAAGTGGAATATACATACTAAATATGAAGTCCCTATCTCCTATGGTTCAAAAGTTATGGCAAAATGTGGAAAAAGATATTTTTAGCATATAGGTCAATGTCACAAGGTCAAGTTTTATTTGAAAGAACTTAAAAATCCATACCAAATATGAAAGTTCAAAACGAAGGTTAAAGTTGACAAAAAGGACAAACAGACAGGACAAAAACAATATACGCCCCGGATCTATCGATTCGGGCGCATAAAAAAAACTGAAAAAAATGAGACAGACAAAATCTCTCAAAAAATGAAATGAAAAGCAGAGAACAACCTAAATGGATAATAGAGTCCCCAAAGTAGTAGTTATCCACAATAGAAATAGCAGCACTAAATACAGTCTGTCGTATGGTGTAATGCCCGCGAGAAGCTTTAGGCGGTTTCTGTGTCCACGGATCGTTCTATACACGGATTCCTGAGCCCTATAGGACCGGAGACATCGGGATGGACGTCCCCCACGGTTTTTCTGGAGGAGCAGTTGGCCTGGTGGAGCCTCTGGTCTACAGTAACTACCTCCAGGGGTCCTACCACGACTGGCTCTGATGGATTTGTGTCCTTTTGGTTCATTTCTACACCGTCCCTCTCAGGATCCGAGAATTCTTGCTGGCTTCGAGGAGTGAGAGGGCCGTACGGGTGATACCAAGTCAAATCTTCCTCCTCTCGCAAAGACTGCAGAACTCGAGATTTCACTGAAATAAAACAAGTCAACATTACAACCAACCTTACACAGGTGAATTTTACGAACAGCAGATCAAAAATGACGTTCTTTTTACCCTTATTAGTAGAATTCCAGTACTTAGATACTGTTACTAGTATTTGAAGTGTACCATTTCATTTGGATTTCTAAATCCAAAAAGAAATACAATATCTAAATAAAAATTGAAGAACTTGTGCTATTTAAGGAATGAAAAAAACATGTAGAGAGAGAGGGCGTGATCCAATGCTGAGAATTCTCAGAGAAGATCATAGAAGGAGACGTAGATAGACCATGCAAACAAAGGTGAACGATTCCTGACATCACGCGTAAAAGATCAGCATTTTCATGTCACAATCTGACACTAATTATGAAAACAGTGGAGCACACCAAATTTTTAAGACCTGTGGACTGCTGCATCTTTTACACGTGATATAATAAGCACAGGGGATTTACCACATGCTGCTGACCTCTAACCTCCATCTCCACCAATGAAAAGCCCCTTTACATAAATAAGAACAAATCACACATACTTACTAGATGGAGTGGAGTAGATGTCCACCTTGGAGTCTTCTACAGAGGGCCCATCTTTATCCCCGGCTCCAGGAGGCGAGGATTAGCGAAGAACGACATTCCCTCCACTGCTGCTGATCCAGAGGAATAGCCGATGTTGAAAGACGAAGGAGTCCAGCTCCCCAGAAACACGGCAAAGCATAGCACCAACACCTAAAACATAGACATCTTACTATAACACCAACAGTTAAAATACGGACATCTTACTACATTTTATGTTGGGAAGTATAACACGAACACCTAAAACAGGAATATCTCCTTATTACACCAACACTATATCTTTTGTTGGACTTACAGATGTACGCCTAAGGAAATTTAGTATTTCTTGTGTTTAACAGCTGTGTTTAGTATTCCTTGTGTTTGACAGCTGTGTTTAGTATTTCTTGTGTTTGACAGAGGAAGGTGTCAGAGGTCAGAAGAATGCTACACGAGGAGCTGCCAGAGGACAAAGGTCATTGTAAAGCTCCTCACAGAGGTAAGTCACATGACCTGAAAGGGGTCAGTGAAAGGTCAAGAATAGGTAATGTGATTTTTTAAAATACACTTTAATCAGAAGAAACATCCTATCAATGCACCTTCTGTTTGATCCTGATAGGTTTGATTTTCATAGACTAAAGAAACAGTATATCAGTAACCCAATACTCACATATATCAGTAACCCAATACTCACATATATCAGTAACCCAATACTCACATATATCAGTAACCCAATACTCACAAATATTAGTAACCCAAAACTCACATATATAAGTAGTTCAATACTCACATATATCTGTAGCTCAGTACTCATATATATCAGTTGCCTTATACTCATATATAGCAGTAACCCAATACTCACATATATAAGTATCCCAATCCTCACATGTATCAGTATTTCTCTACTTTCACATATATCAGTAGCTCAATACTCACATACTCACATATATTAGTAGCTCAATACTCACATATATCAGAAGCTCAGAACTCACATATATCAGTTGATCAATACTGACATATATCAGTAGCTCAATACATATATCAATAGCTCAGAACTCACATATATATCAGTAGCTCAATACTCACATATATCAAAATCTCAATACATATATCAGTAGCTCAATACTCACATATATCAAAATTTCAATACATATATCAGTACCTCAATACTCACATATATCAAAATCTCAATACATATATCAGAAGCCCAATACTCACGAATACTAACGCTGATCTGTGTATAATTAGAGAGGGATTACTTTTTCCATTAGGATTTTGTTTGTTCGTTTTTATATGGGTTTTTTGGTTTGTTTTTTGTTTGTTTGTGTAATTGTTTGAGTTTAGTTTGCAGGTGGTGGACCATTCTTCCATGAACAAAATGAATTCCTCCAATCTTGCCATTGTTTTTGGACCAAATCTGTTATGGCCAAAGGGACAAGCCTCTCTGTCCAGCATGGGATACCTCAATAATTTTGCTCGCCTTCTTATTGATAACTACAGCGAACTGTTTGACAGATAGCAGGTCATGACCTGTAGCTGGTACTCTGATAAACTGGGTCCTGCCCACACACTGACACAAAACAATTATCTTCTGGTGACCAGTTCTTGTAAAGATTTTGGCGCCAAGAAGTCTTTTTCAGTTTGAATATTTAGAAAAAATGCTCCTTTCTTATGAGGATCACTATGTAGGAGGCAGCTAAGTGTTTTAATCAGTTCTGTGATCGTTTTAAACTTTTTTTTATTTTCTCATTCTTTGTGTAAATTATACTATGTGTCCTGATTAGGTTTATATGAAAAAATAATGTCTGCAGAATTTGGTCATTTATTTGAACTAGTCAAAAGGGGGATTTAGAACAATACTTGCACATGTACTTTGTAAACAGTGAAACATAAAATAACAGCTTTCTTTGAAGACAGTTCATAATGTGTCTTGCTAAAAATTGAACTTTGCTTTCAACTAAAATGTTTCTTTGAAGAAATGACTCATTGTATGTTTTGTTATGCATATTTATTATTATTATATGATTCCATGTTGTTATGTTTAATAACTGTGTATACACGGTATATACAATTAGTTTTATTTATAACTAGGATGTACATAGTGGTGTGTAGTATTTATAGTAGTTCTTCCAGGAGTAGGTCTAGGTGGGGATAGAAAAATCCACAACAAGTTGTATATGAATGAAATACTCCAGTCTGACAATTATTACATATAAAAGAATGAGTGTTTAGTTTTCATTCACAGGCATTTCTGAAAAGATTAAAGTGCTGTTGATCAGCCCCAAAGTACACGTCCATGAAAGTGGCTGATATTGTCTTTTGATGATATGTAAATGTAAACTTTGAATTGTTATTTAACTCTCTACACTGATTTGTACATGATGTAATCAAAAAAATTCTCTACAGAATTTCCTTTTTAAAATAAAATGAATAAGTTGATCCTGAATTTTGTGGTGGACTTTAGCTGTGCTGGTCAATGACGTTGACAAATCTTGGTTCAGTAAAATTTGAACAAAGATATATACAAAATAACGTTTAAAAATTCCGTTTCGATGAAAAATTGTCTGGATACTAAAGCATCCGGGTATCTGGGGTCCGGATATCTTAAGGTCCACTGTAGTACACAAAAATATTTAAAAGAAAAATGTTGCATCAGGTTTATAAAAAATGTAATGATGATGATTTGGTTAAAAAAAAAAACAAGATGTGTTTGTGAATCCTTACGACAGCTTACGGCAAAGGATGAAGTTTTCAAATGCAAGTCAAACTCCAAGATAAAAAATAAAAAAAATTATGGTATCAAGAGGGATGTATATGAAAGCTCTAATACAAAACAGTTATGGCCAATGTTTAAATTTTTCTACAAAGTGGGTCAAAGGTCAAGGTAAAAAATATTAATACCAATAAATTGAAAGGTTTTGTCAAAATTAATACACATGTGAAGTATAAAAAGCCTTAGCAACAACTGTTATAACCAAGGTTAAAGTTTGGTTTTATTAGCTCACCTGAGCCAAAGGCTCAAGTGAGCTTTTCTGATCACATTTTGTCCGTCGTCCGTCCGTCTGTCTGTTACCTTTTCACATTTTCGACTTCATCTCAAGAACCACTAAGCCAATTTTGACCAAACTTGGTACATATCATCCTTTGGGATGAATTTAAATTGTTAAAATGAAGGGCCATGTCCCCTCACAAGGGGAGAAATTCAAGAAAAGAGAAAAATAGGGTGGGGTCATTATAAAATCTTATTCTCAAGAACTACTGGGCCAGAAAAGCTGAAACTTATGTGGAAGTATCCTGGAGTAGTGTAGATTCTAAATTGTTCAAATCATGACCCCCGGGGGTAGGGCAGGACCACAATAGGGTATCAAAGTTTTACATAAAAATATATCGGAAAAATCTTTAAAAATCTTCTTCTCAAGAACTACTGGGCCAGAAAAGCTGAAACTTATGTGGAAGCATCCTGGGGTAGTGTATATTCTAAATTGTTCAAATCATGACCCCCGGGGGTAGGGTGGGGCCACAATGGGGAATCAAAGTTTTACATAATTAGAAATATATATGAAAAATCTTTGAAAATCTTCTTCTCAAGAACCACTGGGCCAGAAAAGCTGAAACTTATGTGGAAACAATCCTTGGGGAGTGTAGATTCTAAATTGTTCTAATCATGACCCCCGGGGTAGGGCGGGGCCACAATGGGGGATCAAAGTTTTACATAGAAATGCATAGGAAAAATCTTTGAAAATCTTCTTCTCAAGAACCACTGGGCCAGAAAAGCTGAAACTTATGTGGAAGCATCCTGGGGTAGTGTAGATTCTAATTTGTTCATATCATGACCCCCCGGGGGTAGGGCTGGGCCACAATGGGAAATCAAAGTTTTAGGGTGGGCTCACAATATGAATTACAAGGTGGAAATCTGGTAAAAAATAGAATTGTTAAAGCTTTTAAGGTGAGCGATGTGGCCCATGGGCCTCTTGTTTGAAAAAGTGGGCCAAACTCGAATGCGAAGGTCAAGAGATCAAATTTGGTGGTACTCGAAGAAAGATCTTTCACAAGGAATAAACCTGTGAATTATGAAAGCCAGACCCAACCCATTCAAAAGTTCCAGTGTCTGGGCGATGTTCAGGTTTTTGCGGACAAATGGATGGACAGGATAAGAAACTATTTATCCCCAGGAATTTTTAACATCAATGCTGAATTTTCAGTACCTTTTTTCCGGAATGCATAAAAAAGAGAATTTTATTAAATGAATATTTTAAAGGTTTTAAATCGAATTGTGTTTAGCCAGTCAATCGGGATAACGACAACCAAACCAATTTTTAACAAGAATAGATATGGGTTACCCCATATCCAAAGATATTCGACTTTTAGAGTTAATATGTTTATCAGTGTTTATAATAAAGTTAATAAAAAAAACTGCAATGTCTAATTATGGAACTGGTGTAAATTTCGTGAGGTCACCCAGTCTCCTAACAAACAGTACACATAGGCCTACATGTACCTGTGTCCGCAAGACCAACATTAGCCTTGATCTACACACGTGCGATGGAGATGTCAAACGCATCCAGCGAGCTCGGAGAAACACGTTTTGTTTTGCCGAGAAGTTACGATGGCAGACCAAACTTTTCTTTTCTTAATTAGATCATATGAATACGAATTCTGATTAATTATACAATCCCTGTTGAACTATATATAGTTTGTTCTAACATTTGCATCTGCAACAACTTGTGTTTAAAATGGCCGAGTTAGGAAAATCAGGACCGGATCGGAAAATTCTAAACTGAAAACGTTTTTTGTTTTGAAAATTACTGAAATATACTAATGTATTCGTCGCAGAAATTACTTACATTATTCAAGTTTTATATAAAATGGTATGCTGAACTTCAACACGAACCCGAATCTCCGACCCAGTTCTCGTTTTGCTACACATTTTTTACCCTACAGTTTACAAAGTGTACACACGAGCAGAATCCAGCCAGGGATTGAAAATTCCGTCATTTAATAATACACACACACAGAATGATTAATTTTTTCTTTAAGAGGAAATTGTATGATAATTAACGGACTATAAACATATACTTAATACAATTGTTGATATAGTATTATCAATTCATCGGTGAAAAAATATAAATCGAAGAATGACCTAAATATTCTCTGTTATCAAACATGTAAAAAAAAAAAAAAAGGCTGAGGAGGGAGCGAGCGTAGGAATATTGATATTTTTTATTTGCATTTCGAGGAGAAAGTGACTTTCTAATGATATTTTGACGTTATTTTTTATTTCTTTAACGTATGACATACACAACTTTACTCTTATCATGAACAATAATGTTGTATCTACTTATCATGATGGAACTATTTTGGTCGGACCAATTTGTGTGAGCCGCCGCTGAATACAGTAATATATCTTGCATAAATAGTATGCATTCATCAAATATATTTAAAATGTGCAAAAAGCCATTAACTTGGAGAAAATTTGGTTTCAGGAATGATAATAACTACATAAAATAATTATAGGTCCACAACTAGTACTGTAGCAGGTATTACTGATGCATTTTATTTCTACCAGCATATCGGGTGAATTGTAAAAATAGTTTGTCTTCTTGACACCTGTTCCTTTTTAGCTCACCTGAGCCGAAGGCTCAAGTGAGCTTTTCTGATCACTTTTGTCTGTCGTCCACCTAGCTGTCCGTCCATCTATAAACTTTTCACATTTTCGACTTCTCAAGAACCACTAGGCCAACAAGGGAAATTTAAATTGTAACAAGAGGCCCATGGGCCTTATAGGTCACCTGAGTATCATGTGACAACTTTCCAACAATTGAATTTGATTCATGTTTTAAACTAAAGGCCATGAAATTGCTCATCATAATTATACAATCAGCATGCTTATTTGGTTACTTAAAACCTAGAGGTAGATCAGAGTAACAAAGAGAAATGCATTTCTACTTTTAGTGAATTTCAGGGCCCCTGGGTCAGGGCTTCTTTTGTTAAGGCAGGTCCACAGTTGAGCTTCCCATCCCACAGGAACCACTGACATCTTTCAAAATTTTGGAATTTTTTTTTTTAATTTTATTTCATCATGCTGTTGATTAATACCAAAGTGCAGACTTCAAAGCATTAAACTATTTCAGACTATGCCCCCCCCCAAAACCCCAAAGTACCTCTTTCCCAGAGGGCAGGAAATTAACCATTTTTGGAAGAAGCAGTTTTTTTTCATAAATAAATACTAAGATCATAGGCATTATACCCAATAATAAAGGAAAACATTTTCAAAGAATTCAAGCATTTTCACAATATAAACATTAGAGCCACAGACACACAAGAATCTCTAACCCAGGGACCCCGAAATTCAAAAATCTCAAAGAGGCATCCTTCCTCCTCATAACTACCGTATATACTCGCCTATAAGTCGGTCCGCCTATAAGTCGGTTGTAGTTAATAAGGTTATATTTCAGTTGGACTGACCTCATATAAAACCATTCTTTTTATAGCTCGCCTATAAGTCGGACACATAGTTTTGAACCAGAGATTGACTCCAAAAAAACCGACTTAAAGGCGAGTATATACGGTAAGTACATAGTTCATTGGTTAAATACTCAGGTGCAGAATAGAAGTTTTAAAGAATTTATGCATTTTCACTGTATATTCAATATTTTTAAGCCCCGCCCTAACACCAGAACCCCCAACCCATGGGCCATGAAATTCACAATTTTGGAAGAGGTAGCCTTATTCAACATAACTATGTACTTGGTTAGTTTATTTAATACTCACGAGCAAAGAAGAAGATTTTCAAAGAAATATTCATTTTTTACTATAAATTACTATATAATCTATATAGCCCCGCCCTAGCACAAGAATCCCTGACCCTCGGGCCATGAATTTCACAATTTTGGTAGAGGACTCAGTGCTGATTACAATCATACCAACAGTTTAACTGCTTGATGTCCAGGAGTAAAGAAGGTTTTTTAAGATTGCACTAATTTTAGAGGTTTTTGCCCCACCCCCCAGGCCCCAGGGGGTAGAGACCATGAAATTCACAATCAATTTTTGCTCCCCTTCACCCATAGATGCTATATGCCAAATTTGGTAGAATTGGTTCAGTGGTTTCAGAGAAGAAGCTAAAAATGTTCAAATGTTAACGCACGACGAACGACGCACGACGACGGACGAAAACAGATAGCAATAGGTCACCTGAGTTTACTCAGGTGACCTAAAAATGAAGGGCCAAGTCCCCCCACAAGGGGAGATAATCAAGAAATAGGGTGGGGTCATTAAAAAATCTTCTCAAGAACCACTGGGCCAGAAAAGCTGAAACATGTGTGGAAGCATCCTGGGATAGTTTAGAGTCTAAATTGTTCAATTCATGACCCCCAGGGGTAGGGCAGGGCCATAATCGGGAATCAAAATTTTACATAGAAATATATCAGGAAAAATCTTTGAAAATCTTCTTCTCAAGAACCACTGGGCTAGAAAAGCTGAAACTTGCGTGGAAGCATCCTGGGGTAATGTAGATTCTAAATTGTTCAAATCGTGTACCAAGGGGGTAGGGCGGGGTTACAATGGGGAATCAAAGTTTTACATAGAAATATATAGGAAAAATCTTTAAAAATTTTCTTCTCAAGAACCACTGCGTCAGAAAAGCTGAAACTTATGTGGAAGCATCCTAGGGGTAGTGTAAATTCTAATTTGTTCAAATCATGACCCCCAGGGGTAGGGTGGGGCCACAATGGGAAATCAAAGTTTTACATACAAATATATAGGAAAAATCTTTGAAAATCTTATTCTCAAGAACCACTTGGGCCAGAAAAGCTGAAACTTATGTGGAAGAAGCTAAATTGTTTCATGGGGTTATGGGGAATCAAAATTTTACAGAGAAATATATAGGAAAAATCTTTGAAAATCTTCTTTCAGAACCACTGGGCCAGGAAAGATGAAACTCATGTGGAATCCCTCAGGTAGTGTAGATTCAAGTTTGGGACCCCCGGGACCAAAATGGGGAATCAAAATTTTACATAGGAATATTTAGGAAAAATCTTTAAAAATCTTCTTCTCCAGAACCACTTGGGCCAGGAAAGCTGAAACTTATGTGGAAGCATCTTGGGTAGTGTAGATTTCAAATTGTCTTAATTATGATCAGTGAGGTAGGTTGGGGTCACAATATGTATTACAAGGGGGAAATCTGGTAAAGAACAGAATGGTCAAAGCTTTTCAGGTGAGCGATGTGGTCCATGGGGCTCTTGTTTTAATCTGGCATCTAATCTATCCATCATCCGTCTGTCTGTCTAGGTGTCTCTCCGGCCGTCTGGCTGTAAGCACTTTTTTAAAATCTTTCTCCTCCTACAGTTTCGGTTTGATTTCAATATATGATAGCTATAGTGCATACTAACTTATTATTCCAAATCAGGGCCCTTTTCAGGATATAGCATACATGATTATTAAACTTTTTGCACTAAAGTTATCAGATGTTCGTGAATTAAGAAAACTGCAAAACAGGATACATGTTCATACTTAAACTAATTACAGGTTCAATGTTTCACCAAACAAATCAGGTTGCTCCGGGATCGTGCTTATAAAATCCCAGCTATACACGAATTCACTAGCATTTTCTTTTGGCCCTGTTGACAGAGTTCTTCAAAATAATATTCTCATTACGATGCAGAGTGACGGTGTGAAAAGAGACTCCGACGTAGAGTAGTGAGTATTAAGTCAAAAGATATACAAATAGATATACATATATAAAGTATAAGATAACGGCTTTTGATGTTAAAATCTCTATATTACTTTGATTAACCGCAGTTACAAACGTTGGAGTTCCACAAATGGCTTCATGCCGGAATGGTGCCTTGAAGGAGGGTACGAGGCAGACGGCAAAATACTATATGTCGTCGCCGCCTACGTTGATGGCACCTTTACACCTGGAAAATACGGTCATCATCTTAGTGGAGCCTGTATTCCGTATCATCATGAAGAAAGGGTTTGCGAAAAGTGGTACCGTATTAGCGGTGAAGTAAGTAATAGACCATGGATATATAGCTGGGAGCACGCCTCCAACGGAAACGTTCCCCGCAACGCTCTAAGGGCGGATGAGGAGATGCCCAGTGAGGGTGAAGGGCTGTACATTGGTCGTGTCCACCACGCGGGGAGTCTTATTCCGTGTAAAGTTCATAGAACGCACAGATGTGCTTATTTTGGTTATGATGGGAAAGAACACAAATCAACGGAGTATGAGGTGCTCGTCTGCACATTGAAGTCTGGTCAGCCAAGGGAAGGGGAGGAGGGGGAGGGACAGAAAGAGGTCAAGGAATAGTCGGAATTCAGGAGGGGCAGGGACAGAAAGAGGCCAAGGAATAGTCGGAATTCAGCGGAAAAGTACAGTAATTTTCTTATAGATTGTTCAGTCTATAATGAAAAATTCAAAGCACAGAAACATAATGTAAATTTTTATAGCCAACATATGAAATGAAACATAATGTAATTTTATTTCTAGTTAAGATAGTTATCAAAGTTAAATTATTTATGGATTACTCCCTGTGAAAAATATTGATAAATTACTTCATCTTGTTAATAACCTCTAGAATCACGTAATGTTTTAAAGCAGCAACAGCTTGCTCTGTATGTGTTTTCGTTTATACAGTTTTATTACAATACTACTTATTATTTTTATTTCTACAATACTGTACATCTTTCAAACCTCTCTGTAGACTTCTGGAAATAAAATAATGTTTCAGTCCATTGTCTAACGAACCTGGATAACAGTAGAAAAAAAGATGTGTTTGTGAAACACTAATGCCCCCATATGCATGACAACATAACGAAGATTAAAAGAATGAACTGTTCTCAAATGCAAATTATATATACTAGTATGTTGGTACCCAAAGAAAGGTATTCCCGCAAGTAATACATTTGTAAAATATGAAAGCCCTAGCACCACTTGTTCAAAAGTTATTGCCAAGGTTAAAGTTCTTAAAAAGTTGGTTAATATCCAAGGTCAAGGCCAACCAAATATTTACAGTATCAAAGATTTAGTCCATACAGTTCAAAAGTTATGGCCAGGGTTAAAGTTTTAAAAAGAGTACGCAAATCTCCAAGGTCAAGGACAACAGGTCAAGTTGTTGGTATCCAATGAAAGGTCTTGTTATAAAGAATACATATGTGAAGCATGAAGTCCTAGTATCTATGGTTCAAATGTTATGGTCAAAGTAAAATTTTGGAAAATTTGTGTAAGAGTGTGTCAAACTCCAAGGTCAAAAGGTCAAATTTCGTGGTATCCAAAGAAAGGCCTTGTCACAAGGAATAACCATGTGAAATATGAAAGTCAAAGCTCCACTAAACCAAAAGTTGTGGGCAAGGTTAAAGTTTTTGGGGACAAACAGACAGACAGCTAGACCGCTAGACAGACGACAAAACCTATATCTATACCTCGAATCTTCCATTGTGGGTGCATAAAAATCTTTGAAGATGGGATCCTTGGTATTAAGCAGACGAATTTAATATATTATGATAAGCAAGGATGACCCATGTAGTGAAAATGCATTACCACCTTAATCTCCTCTGCTACTTGGCATGTAGGAGGCAACAAAGTACAAAAGCTGTAAAGGGCAAGGGAGTTTGATCAGACTTGTGATATTTAGACCAGTGGATCACTTCCCTGTTCTGGGCAGGGTTCTTTTGATCTTGGCGGGAAATGTTTACTCTACCGAGAGAAGTTATTCCTGCTACCCACCTCTGATAACAGGGCTCTGTTTGAAATCTTGGCCCCGTATAGCTACATAGCAAAAATGAAACTCCGATGTCCCCGTACAGCAACATAGCGAAAATGAAACTTTTCTTAAATACAAATTCAATATATTGGTACCCAAAGTAGCGTCTTATCACTGTACAATTGTGAAATATGAAAGCCCTAGCATCACCTTATCAAAAGTGATGACCAAGGATAAGATTTTAAAAGTGAAAAACCCCAAGGTTCAAGGGTCAAACATTAAAAGGTTAAGGTTGTTGGCATCCAATTAAAGGTCTTGCCACATAGAATACATACATGTATATGAAGTATAAAAGTCCTGGTATTTGACGTTCAAAAGTTTTGGTCAAAGTAAACTTTAGAAATTTTAGTGTAAAAGTGTGTCAAACTCCAAGGTCAGAAGTTCAAATTTGGTGGTATCCAAAGAAAGGCCTTGCCACAAGAAATACAAATGAGAAATATGAAAGTAATAGCATCATAAAATCATTAGTTATGGGAATGGTTTAATTTTCTGCGGACAAACAACTAGACAGACAGACAGACGTACGGACGGACAAACACGACAAAAACTATTTACCCCCGAATCACATTTTTAAAAAAATTCCAAGGTCAAAGGTTCAAAGTCCTTGATATCAAATGAAAAGTCTTGTCACAAGGAAGGATATGGAGATAACGATAAGTATTCATTATCAAAGTCCATAAAACAATACAAAATAGGAGCAGAGAAAACACGGACCTCCGAAACATCAGAGTTGGGATCAGGTGCCATGGAGGAGTGAGAATCCCCATGCTGACCGGTGACACTCACGTTGTGTTCCTTGTCATGATAGGGAAATAACGGAAAAATCCGTCGTCAATTCAGTATACAAATAATGGACTAACAATTAGTATGAAAAACGTCAGTCAGCATTTGTCTCAATAATAAATTGTATTTGCTGACAAGATCATTGTATCGACCATAGAATTTACAAAATGATGACTTTAAACGAGACTGTTGATATTCTTGTTTTAACAACTTGCTTGTCAATAATTTAAATCGTTTTAGAAATTGTTCTTGCGTATCGAATCAACTGAGATATATACACTCCGTATGCAGGTGATGTAGGTATATTGCTGCATAAGTAAGGGAAGTTGACGATAGAAAAGCTTTATCCCCACCAGGCTTGGGGTAATGCTAATTGTAATGGTAATGCATTGCAATGCATTACATAAACTCAAAGTAATGCTAGTAATGTGTAATGCCCAAAAAATTGCATTACATGTAATGGTAATGTAATGCATTACTTCATAAAATCCAGTGTAATGCTGGCATTACATAGCATTACAAAGCATTATTTTGTATGTACCTATTTTAAGAAATTAAAATGGACATGGATGATTGAAATTATTGTTTAGTTTTTTTTTTCTAATTTATTTTTTTTGTAAATGATAAAATTGAATAAAAAAGTTTAACTATTTTAAAAAAGAATTGATTCCAAAGAATTATTCAAAAATGATTTTAAAAGATCTTGTTTTTTTAAATTGCATATGAGATACACTAATTAGACTGCATGTTTATAAAACAGTAATTGCATGAGCTGGTCCAGTTTGTACTGGCCATAAAAAGTCCATTGTATAAAAGAATGTAGCAGACATTCTATGTTTGGCAGATCAAAATGTACTTGTACATCCTGTCTATACGATCTACTTTTTCAAAAAGTCTGTCAATGCATTTATTTTTTTCATAGGGTATGAATCAAAATAGACTATATGCTTTATTATTAGATATTTCAGGCAGGGGTTAAAGTGCCCCAAAAGTTAAATTGCTTAATGACATCAATAGTTACACAAACAGTGAATATTGTACATGTGTTATATATCTGACAATTTAAAAGTTTGAACTTTCTGTGAATGTAAGTTATTGACAGTTTAATATAAACAAAAACTTGAAATCAAATTTGAATTATCATTTATCATGTTTAGTTTTGAAGGGGGTGGATACATGCTTTCGAATAAAAAATTGCAGTTTTGTATAAATTTCTATTTCTAAAAACCTCCAAAAGTAATGGTAATGGTAATGCATTACTTTACTAAAGTAATGGTAATGTAATGCATTACTTTAAGAAAATAGAGTAATGGTAATGGTAATTTAATGCCCATATTGTTGAAAATGGTAATGTAATGCATTACTTTACAATGTAATTTGCCCCAAGCCTGATCCCCACCCTACCCCCAGTTACCATGGTTTGTACAATTTAGAATCTACATTACACTATAGGATGCTTCCAGATAAGCTTTTCAGATTTTCTGGTTCTTGCGAAAAAAAATTTTTTAATGACATCACCTTTTTTAGCTCACCTCGACGAAGTCGAGATGAGCTTATGCTATACCCCCGGCGTTGGCGTCGGCGTCGGCGTCCCAGGTTAAAGTTTTAGGAGCAAGTCCATTCCCAAGTAACTATAAGCCCTACCTGAACCAAACTTGCATGGATGATGCATCTAGGGATGTACACTACCAGACTTGCATCGGATGCTGGATCTGACTTACATTTTCCAGCTGAGTGACCAGGTTAAAGTTTTGGGAGCAGGTTAAAGTTTTTGGAGCAGGTCCATTCCCAAGGAACTATAAGCCCTACCTGGACCAAATTTGCATGGATGATGCATCTAGGGATGTACACTACCGGACTTGCTTCGGATGCTGGATCTGACCTACATTTTCCAGTTGAGTGACCAGGTTAAAGTTTTTGGAGCAGGTCCATTCCACAGGAATTATAAGCCCTATTTTGACCAAACTTGCTTGGATGATGCATCTAGAGATGGACACTAGCATTGCTTCGGATGCTGGATCTGACCTACATTTTTATTCCCGAGTAACTATAAGCCCTACCTGAACCAAACTTGTATGGATGATGTATCTAGGGATGTACACTACCAGACTAGCTTTGGATGCTTGATCTGACCTACATTTTCATTCCCAAGTAACTATAAGCCCTATTTGGACCAAACTTGCATGAATGATGCATCTAGCGATGGACACTACCAGACTTGCTTCGGATGTTGGATCTGATCTACATTTTCATTCCCAAGTAACTATAAGCCTCTACCTGAACCAAACTTGCATGGATGTGTATCTAGGAATGGACACTACCAGACTAACTTCGGATGCTGGATCTGACCTACATTTTCATTCCCAATTAACTATAAGCCCTAGCTAAACCAAACTTGCATGGATGATGTATCTAGGGATGGACACTACCAGACTTGCTTCGGATGCTGAATCTGACCTACATTTTCATTCCTAAGTAACTATAAGCCCTAGCTAAACCAAACTTGCATGGATGATGTATCTAGGGATGGACACTACCAGACTTGCTTCGGATGCTGGATCTGACCTACATTTTCATTCCTAAGTAACTATAAGCCCTAGCTAAACCAAACTTGCATGGATGATGTATCTAGGGATGGACACTACCAGACTTGCTTCGGATGCTGGATCTGACCTACATTTTCATTCCTAAGTAACTATAAGCCCTAGCTAAACCAAACTTGCATGGATGATGTATCTAGGGAATGGACACTACCAGACTTGCTTCGGATGCTGGAGCTGACCTACATTTTCATTCCTAAGTAACTATAAGCCCTAGCTAAACCAAACTTGCATGGATGATGCAGCTAAGGATGGACACTATCAGACTTGCTTCAGATGCTGGATCTGACCTATATTTTCCATACAAGAGGCCAGGTTAAAGTTTTGGGAACAGATCAATCCGAATGAATTTGAAGTCCTTGATATCTGCAGTATTAACAGTTATGAATATTTATTTACACTATACATGTTTTTCACGCTACACGCGTAGAAATGTGTATAT